GTAGTCAGTTTGAAAAGGTCTTTTGCTCTTGGTAAATAATGGTTTGCGGTAGTGATGGCAAGGGTACTTTTGTGCAAGATCTCGACTGTCAGTGTGGAGCGCTTAAACCTATGCGAAAGTACGATACCACAAAGATCAGCTACTTCATGCTGAGCATCCGTAAGTGTTGTCTATCAGACCAGACGAAACTACCGTTCAAAGACATACGGCAGCATGAGATAGCTCAAGCGTAAAATGCTTTCTGCTCTGGTGGAGATCCTTCAAGAACGCCTGGCATGCGAAATGCGACTAGCGAGATCGAAGTTCTGCAACTCTTCCTTCGTCGGTCTCTGGTTGATGCAACGTAACACGACCTGCTGCGTTCTGAGCTCCTGCTCCTTATGTGACTCCGTCTTGCATTCCGCCTTGTGCCGTGGCCAGTCCTTAGCCTGGCATACCGAACTACAATACACAATCTACGCAGGTCGTCAGTGCACGCAAAGACCGAGAAAACGCAGCGATGCTCACGAGTTTGCAGCCGCTGCAGCACTTGAGATTGCCGTGGTAGTCGCGGCCTTGGACCTTATGGCAGTAATCGCACTTCTTGTACAGTGCCCCGCCGTTCGCGCCGATCTTGGACGCAAGCTCGATGTCGAAGCGTTCGCGTTTGTCAGTACTCTCGGCAATATACCCATCGACTATGGCGTTCCATTCGTCCATACTTTTTTGGCCTCATTCTTGCTGATGATGCCCTGCCAGAGCCTAAAAGAGGACATCAGACGATGAGAACGTGATGCATCCCAAGAGGACGTACCGCGGCATAAAGTTGACCTTCCCTATGGCGTACACGAACGCAGGCTCCATGTCCTCCGGTGATAAGGCGCCGAGCATCCGTTGCAGGCGAATATTCGGGCTCTCTTTTAGCTCGCTGAAGAAGCTGGGCTCCATCCCCTCGAGGACACCCAGTATCTGCGCGATAGCGTGCGCCAAGGGCGCGTTCCTCGCAAGTGCTTCGGAGAGCCGCTTGAATTCTTCTGGTATTGTCACCGGACGCACTTCGACAGGTATGATGCAGTCGTCCTTTGCGCTCCAGCGCTCCTCCAGGCGGAACCGCTGGCGCATACATGAGCAGCGCTCGTATGTCTTCTTGCTACCGCACAGACAGAGGAAGAACGGCGGATACGGGAGGGACTGCGCGGCGTGACAATCCTTCAGAAGCGCCCCAGACCAGCACGAACAGGGTCGTGGGGGACGCGGTCTGCATGCCTTGGTGGTGCGCACGAGCGCGTTGTACCTCGAGCGCTGATTCACCGAGTGGAAAACCGGGTAGCCCGGCTCTCCTGGAGAGTGTGGGCGTGCGCCATGGCGAAGGAGAAGCTCGACGAGGGGCCAGCATGCGGCTTCAGCAGCGGCGTTTCATCTTCGACCGATGTGTTGACGTCCGCGTGTTGTTCGACGAGGAGGATGGCGACGCGCAATGTTCCTGTAATTTCGTCGCCTATAGCTTCGTCATTGTGTGTACGCGCAAGCTCAGAGTCGGGTAGCAGTCTGCCCATAGCCTTCAGAGCGTCCCCGATCGCCTGCGTCGCGCGGATGTATATGCAAGCCAGATGCAAGGCGGTGATTTCCAGAACATCCTTGTAGTCTATGGTTGTGCTTATACGTATACATTCGTAGGCCAGAGGGATGTCTCCAGCGGTCGCGGCAAGATGGAGAGTTGAACGTTTGTCCTCTTCGGCGAACCTATCGACTTTTGAGAATATCCTCGGATCCATGCCCGAACGCGAGGCAGTTCTGCTAGGCTCGCAGAATATCAACGTACGGCCGCGGGCGCACTGTTCAGAAACTGCATTAGCCCTGGGTTCCCCGAACCGGTCCCGGTTGCGGTTATGAGCGAATCGGTTTTGAACTGCTCCAGTAGTGCTTCGGGCAAGTAAGGATGGCAGGCCTTGAAACGTTTTGGCATGTTGAGAGTATAGAACTCCCGGTGATATTCTTTCAGTAGCTGCCGTGGATGTGCGACTTCGAGGTGGGCATTGGGCAAACGCAGAATTATCCGTGGGAACATTTTTTATGGGCGCTTTATTAATAAGCGCCCTCGATTTCGCTGTTTCGAAGGCGAGGATATAAATTTGCTCATAATTATGTAGTTAACACATGCACTAAGGCATCGCGTTGCGCGGAGGCTCAAAGAGCTAAGGCTAACGACTAATTTCCAGCTGCGAAGTCCACTTTTCTTTGGCGTGCGCATTCGCAATTTCGCATTAGCTGCATTGTGCTCGAGAATGCCAGCCTCTATATATACCGTTAAGACTGGGGAGTAGTCGTACTTGACTCTGACATGCATATCTCGAAACTACGAAAATCCTTGAGAGCCCGACATCCGGGACGCACAGTGGAAAGTCACACAGGACAAGCGTGACGCGCCACGCAAAGCGTTATTGTGACAGCCTAAGTGAACGCTACGTGACCTCCGTTACATCCCAAACCCCTGTCACGCCGTTCGCCTTTCGTTCGGACGCTCATCCTTTTCTCCGCCAATTCTCATTCCCCGCATCTAGAGGCAAGCAATCGGCGGACATCATGTTTGCCACTCTTGTCCGTCTCTCAAAAGCCTCTCGGAAGCCTTTGACGCCAAAGCGCGGCAACAAGGACTACTACAAAGGTCAACTTCAACTACAACCGCCTCGTCCGTCCCAGCGAATCTCGACTCACGCGCACTGTTTTGGTCAGGCACCCGCCAGGCCGTGCTCCCGGGTGGTCCGCGCACGGGTGCGCCTGGTAAACATGTCGTAAAGGGCAAGGCCAAGTATCGTTTGCTTGATGAGAAGGTGCGGTACTTTGTCGCGCCGCCGATTGAGGACATTCTGGCGTCTCCGGTGCGTGGCAGTAACCTTTTTACCTCCTGTGCAAGTCTGATAGAGATGGGCCGTGATGTACAGTTGAAGCCGTACGTTCATACCGACGTTAAGCTCACGAAAGCTCAAGAGCGGGAGGTCCTCGG